TACATATACCACGCAGGCAAATAATGCTTTTCGCGCGCACTGATTCACCGGTTTGGAAGTGATTAGCAAGTATCATAGACAAAAAATCGCGCGTGAGGATTTTCGGTTTATATTCTGAAATAAACTAGTTTTTCGGTATAAATGTATATTCTGAAAAAAGAGTTTTTAACCTCACTACAGGTGAATAATTGTCATTCATTTTTTTCTTAGCTCGTTAGCCGGCGGTATTCTGTAAACCCTGCGATCTGATCGGTTCCGAGAGCAGGCAGTATGCTCCCATCCGGCCCGCTCACAGCGGGCGGTATCCCTTTCGCGTTGAGTCGCTTTACACAAAATCTCAAGCTTCGTTGTATCGGTTTTCAAGTGTAATTTAACGCGGAATTCAGGAGTCAGGTAATGAATTTTCCTTGAATCGCATCATTGAACAAGTATAACAGAACAAGAAAACAGTAATAATATTGCATGTTTCTATCATGAGCGCGCGCTCCAGAAAGCCATTACGAAGTCAACTGTCAGAACTATCATTGCGTTAGCGAATAGGAAGCAAGGTCAGTGGTACACGTTTGAACTTCCGACATCTTTATTTGACCCTTGTGCTTGTTTTAACATCTCTTTGTAAACTTTTAAAACAAGCCCCATACTATGTGAGGATAATGGTGGTATATCACAGATTTTACGAGCCGTTTACTTTTAACACCTTTTTTTCGAGTTTCCAAATAATTTGCTCGAGAAGGAAAATAATTTACACCTTTTACCTGAAAGAAATTAAGTGTGCAAGCGAAAGCACTGAACGTTTAATGTCGCCATTAATATAAGGTAAGTACCTTGAAGTGTAAATACGTGTAATGGTCGATATTTTATTCCTTTTAAAATCGAAGTAGTGTTTCATGAAAAGTCCAAAGACATTTTTAATTATCTTTTTATTTGTAGAAATTCACCGCAGGCAACTGCCATTAGGTGAATCGTTGGGATAGATATTCGACTGAAAGTTGATGGAAATATTCACCGGAGGGTTGTTGAACGATACCTAGATGAACAGCCCACCCAGAACTCTCGCTGTTACACCATCACTGCCGTTATTCATTGCTGTTGGGTTATTGCCAACTACCGATGGAAGTGCAGGGCTGTTGACTTAAATTTCTCGCAAAGCTTCAGTGCGTGGACCGTCGCTGGCGTTGGCAGCTGTGACAGTCGTAGTGGTACTTAATGAAAAACCAGCCAACTTGTTTGACATCCTTCACTGTTTTCGTAAAAGATTATGGGTGTAGGTGGATATTGAACCCGGGTGGGCGTGACCTGTTAGCTCGGAGACTGTTTTTTCGGGGCCATGTTCACAAGATTTTCTCGCTTTCGCGTTGTTGCGAGCGAAGGAGGTTTTTCATGCCTCCCCAAGAATTTAAAGTTCAGTTAAAAAAAGGAAGAACCTTACGCTCACTTTTGAAAAAAGCCATTTTTGTCTTTGGCTCTGAAAGGTGATAATGGTTTTGAAAACATTTTAAATTGACTTGGTAATTAACGACACTTTGTAACAATTTGACGATAGTTAAATTGTTACACTAAAGACCACGTTAAATTGTCACACTAAAGACCGCGTTTCCTCAACCAATCAGAATGCGAGATTTTATCCAATGATGCAATTCTCCATGAAATTTTAAAACGGAACGTAGGTAAATCTTCAAAGATTAATTGTCGTTGAAAACAAACAATTTCCGTATGATCTCTGAGTGTTTTTTGTTGGTGCTGTTGTCTTTTTTTTTACGAGAAAATCCTCGCATGGTCATTTAACTCGCATGTGCTTGTCATACCAGAACTGATGTTTATTCAAAAGTGTAAAAGCGCTTTTTCCCCCTCAATTGACAGGTGTCAGATCGTGATAGTTACTAATCAAAAATTGTTGAAAGCCTTTAAAGTTACCTTCATAAATAAAAGTGTTTCGGTGAAGCTTTCTCTTTAATTTGAGAAACCTCTGTTTTCTTCATCATCCTCTCGCTAAAAAATTGTTATGCTAAGTTGATGAAGAACTTTCCAGTAATTAAACTCGTAATTGTAGCCCTAAATCATTTCGGTTCTTTTTTGCAATCATTTTGTTAAGTGTTAGAATAAGATAAAAATGTTATTCACCAGCATAGGTCGGTCCGTATTGGGAAAAACTGTGTCCTCTATCTTGAGTACCGCCCTTGAGCTACAGCCTCAGGCAGTATCCAAGACCTTGGGAAAAGTTATTCCTAACACAGACCTCCCGTCTGATAAATAAAATATATCTATTGCGCAGTTTTTTTTTCTTTTTTGAAGAAAGCAAAGACTTGTCAACAATTTATCGAACCTCTATCCAAGCAGTTATGCCATTGTGAACAGGACTTAGGTTCCCTCCTTTTGTTGAGTGATTAGCAGAGACGAGTACATTTGGGACTGTATGATAAGTATGGAGAAAGGAAACATCCTGAAAAGAAAGATAAAAATTAAAAACATATTCTGGGATCAGGGCCTACACTAAAACTAGCGCCTTAGTAAAGTTAAACGAAATTATTAAATTAGAAGATCTCCCTTGAATTCCTTCGCCCATTCCCTCACCCATTTTCTTCAAAAACAATAATAATAATGATAATTATTAAAAACTAAATCATAGGATAATGCAATTCAAGACTTTTTACGTATGATGCACGATCCTCGCAGTAGATAGCGCTATTTAAGCAATAGCGAAAATCCGACCTGAAAAAAAAAATCAGGCCTGTACGGGATTCGAACCACTGACCTCTGCGATACTAGTGCAGCGCTCTACCAATTGAGCTAACAAGCCAACTGGGAGCAGGTCGTTAAGTTGATCAAGACTTTTTATTGGCTTAGCCATTATGGTAGAGGAGCCAATATACCATAATCTACAAATATGGTAAGCGTACGCGTCAGCTTAAATTAAAAGGGAGCTAAACAATTAAATAAAATTTAAAAACTTAATTTGACGTTTTTAATAAAACGATTATTTCACTCGCGCTTGTTGGATATGAGATGATTATAACCAACTCGGCGCTACGCGCCTCGTTGGTTATCTATCATCTCATAACGAACGCGTGCTCTTGGAATAATTGTTAATAATGACAATAATAGTAATAATGAAACAATTTTTAGTGTAATAGAAAATAATAACAATAATAATGATAACAATTGGTTGAGTGCGGAGAGGTGTTCCTGAGGTTTAGCAATTCTCTTTCTTCTCCCAAGAGAACAAAGTCCATAAGCACATAGATCCTTAGAACTTCAGCCAGACCCTCGTAAATAGTGAGTAGAACATGGATATCGCTATGATTACTGATCAATTTGCACTAAATAAACTACCCATGAACCAAACAAATTCGGCGTACTCACTCAAACACAAACATGCTCGAAATTAGATGAGACGATGGAAAAAAACCACCAATGATTATTTACCTTGCAGAAGGCATTATTTTGATCGTCAGGAGGGGGTTTGTTGTTCATGAAGGGAACCATGCCATGTTCCAAGAAGGGGGGCTTGTGAAGATCCACAAACGCGAACCAATTCTGACAAAAACACGAAAAAATGCAAGAGTGTTCATTGCATCTTAATTGACGCGAGATGGTCGAATGAAAATACGGCTAGAGATACAATCTTCTATGCATTATGTTATATAGTGCGTACAGGTATGTTGGGATCCATAACTAGCTAAATGATCCCTTAACGAGGCAATCATGAATGCTGTTTTGCCGTAAAACTTTATGGGAACGCAATGGTCATGTTTTGGATTATCCCTGTTTTTTAATAATAATTTTCATTCAATTGTACTTTATCAAATATATCTTAACGAAGTCGAGAATTCTTCTGATTTATATCACTTGGAGTCCATTTTAATTTTGATTAGTGGAGTAGCCATTATGCTTAACATCAGTTGGTTTGTGTTATGCATATAACAAGAATTCCTTTCTAAATTGTACCATTGAGAGAGAATTACAAGAGTAAGCAGTTATTTAGATAGGAAAGCGATAAGCCTGTAAACCAATAATTACAACGGAAATGTCCTCGTGGGATCCTGCGTAGTTTTGTAGCTCCCTCAAACAAACTTTGCATGAAGATTGTGTGACATCTTCAATCCAGACACTAGCTGCGTCACGCTTCAGTCCAGAATGATGATGTTCGGCAGTTACAAATACAGAAGGTGAACTGTTAAACTTCCCTGAAATCGAAAAAGAAGTTAGACTGCTTAACCGTATTAGATGGTCAACTTTCTCTTTCTCTTGTCAATGATAAGATTAGCGCATTTAAAGTAAAGCTCTACTTAACAAATATTTCCACGATGTCGTGAGTCTGTTCAATTAATGGGACACTGTCACGGGTTGACATGCGCAGTAGCATACACTCTCTCCGAGACTTGTCACGCTTTACGGCCATTATGGAAATATCAGTTAGTCGAAGAATTCTGCATATATTTTGCTTTTAAATCAAGTTTATCCAAAGCAAATGCTCATGAAAGTGAATTTCTTTTACTGAGGAACCTTCGGTGATCGTGTGTAAATGTAAAAGTGCTTATACAACGAAGCGCAAAGGAAATAGTTCTTGTGGGTGCCCTTGCAAAGGGAGAAACGTGCTCTGTACAAATGAATGTAAATGTGGAACAAGCAATAAACCTTGCAGAAACAGGGTATGCATATAAAGTTGAATACATGCTTGTAAAGTTGTAAACATTCACTTCTTTTGTGGCTCGAATGTCCAAAAAGCATACGAAATGATTTGTGTATTCCCTTTCTTCAGGATTCGAACGAGCCTATATTTATGGAAGCCATAGAGTTCGCCTGAGGCTTACCTGTATTCCAATCATAATGTGTAGTAGAATAAACATCTGCCTCGCAAATGCTACAAATGTCTGTGATATCTGGCATTATTTTATTTTCCTATCAGTAAAATCACTGTCGCTGAATGACTCATAACCTGCATCAATTTTGCCTGCAGCCACAACTGAAATGTCTTTTCTTACACATAAATACGCTTATGGTTCCCCAGCCACGCTTTCTTGTATTCCCCTCTGTCTTCAACCTTTCGTTTCCGCCCTGAGTTAATGTGTTTACCGCCATGTCCGGATCCTCCGCTAGACGCCATTCTGAATTTGTGAATGCAACTTGAAAAAGTCAGGATGACTTTTTCAAGTTTCGATCGGCTATAAGAGCATGCGCATACCGTGACCGTGTCCCTTTAGAGATCATATACGACGTCAGAATGTGGCAAGAATAAACGAAGTGTCATACGAGGCTCAGCCGTGTGTTTCATTGATTTCACCACAACATTACTGAACAAAAACACTGTAACATGAAATCTATTTGTTTAATGTTGAACAATTATTCGCCAATGGCGAAGTAAATGTGTTAAATAATTCCGTGACGGGGAAAGGAATTATTCAACAGTGCCCACTAGGCCTGAGGCGAAAATTTGTTCCAGTATAATTGTTCAAGTACTTTCGAATTCTGTAAGTATCCGTTCTGATGTTAAAACCATCCTGTTTCAGTTGTTTTAAGTACTCAAATCGAGATAAAGAGCCAGTGTCAGCTAGAATTTGATAGCTTCATTAATGTAAATGCGCGACTTTAATTGCGTGACTTGAAGTTTGCGTGACATTTCAGTTACAGTTGGCCTTTGTGCCATTTGAGCCTTTCGGATAGTTTTTCTTTCTTTAGTTGTTGCATCGTACGCTCCTTTACTGTTCACTGTTATGTCCGGCGTCCGTCCTAAGGTTACTTCTTAAGTTTTGGTTTCAAGCCACCGACGTATAGGGACCGATATGTAAGTTGCATTCGTTTGTTCTCACTTTGTAGCTTGCCCGATTTATGCAAGGTAGCGTTTCTCTTGATCTGATTTTATGCTTTGTGTGTGTGTTATTTACTCGCCGCCGTCGTATCGTCTAGCGGCTATTTCTAGTCATAATTTTCCTTTATCTCGTTTCGAGCAAGCTCTTTCATCTTTATTTGTATATATATTTTGTGTTTGCCGTGGCACTTAGTTCATTTATTAGTTCTTTTCATTATGTT